GCATTTCTTTCTTCTTTCTTTCTTTTTCTTTCTTTCGCTCTGGAACGCGGCTGACTGCATTTATATGTCCTGTGTGCTGAAATACACCTATATTTCTTTCTTCTTTCTTTCTTTCTTTCCTTTCTTTTTTAAAATTTATTTTGTGAGCGAAAAAACGCATGTGAGCAGGGGAGGAGAGAGAGAATCCAAGCAGACTCCGCACTGACAGTGTGGAGTCCAATGTGGGGCTCAAACTCAAGAACCGAGATCATGACCTGAGCCAAGATCAGGAGTTGGATGCTTAACCGACTGAGCCACCCAGGCGCCGCAAAATACACCTGTATTTCAAAGACTTAATACGGAGGAGAGATCTTATTAGTAACATTTATGTTGAGTACACGTCAAAATGATAACGTTTGGGCTGTCCTGGGTTCAAGAAACTATAGCATTAAAACAACATTTGTTTCGTTTCAGTTTTTAAAATGTGAGCCCCTGGAGAATCCAACATGGCATGTCTGACTTGCATTGTCTTCCTGCTGGATGCTTAACCTACCAGATTAATCCAGGTGCTTTCCCAGCCTAGAGGAGCCGCCTAGAGCTCAGAAGACTTGGCTGGTCCTCTTATTTATTTTTAATTGAGGTGAAGTTCACATAGTATACAATTAACCATTTTATTTTATTTTACTTTTTAATGTTTATTTATTTTTGGGAGAGAGAGAGAGAGTGTGTGAACGGGGAAGGGGCAGAGAGAAAGGGAGACCCAGAATCCGAAGCAAGCTCCAGGCTCTGAGCTGTCAGCACAGAGCCCGACGTGGGGCTCGAACCCATGAACCGTGAGATCATGACCTGAGCCAGAGTCAGTTGCTTAACTGCCTGAGCCATCCAGGCGCCCCAAGCCATTTTAAAGTATACAGTTCCAAGTGGCACTTAGCACAGTCACGGTGTTGGGCCACCCCCACCTCTGTCCAGATTTCGACTTTCTCATCCCCTAGAAAAACACGCCCGTTAAATAATCACTCACCATTCTCCTCTCCCCCAGCCCCTGACAACCACTAACCTGCTTCCTGTCTCTGGATTTGCCTACTCTAGACACCTCATTTAAAAGGAATAATACAGTAGGTGACCTTTTAGGATCGCCACCTCTCACTGAGCAGAATGTCCTCCGGGCTCATCCATGTTGGAGCAGGTGTCAGAACCTCAGTCCTTTTTATGGTTGACTACCACCCTGTCGTATGGGTATGCCACCACGTGGGTGCCATCATCTGCTGACGGATGACTGGGTTGTTTCTGCCGTAGCTACTTGAGTAACGCTGCAGCGGACATTTGTGTATACTTTCTGCGTGGTTGTATTGTTTTCATTTCCTGGAATTGCTGAGTCACATGCTAACAGCCGCTTCTTCTTGTCTTTTTATTTATTTTTATTAGTATTACTTTTTTAAATGGGAGATCAAGAAGATTCCTTTCCAATTTTTTTAAAAAATGTTTATTTATTTATCGTTGAGAGAGACAGAGCGCAAGCGGGGGAGGAGCAGAATCTAAAACCCAGGCTCGGGCTCGAGCCTGTCAGCACAGAGCCCGATGCAGAGCTCGAACCTGACAATCAACTCGACTGAGCGACGGTCAACGCAAGAGACCACCCAGGTGCCCCAATAAATAATTTTAAATGCTATTTTGAAAAAAAAAAAAAAAAAAAGTTGCTTTTGTAGTCAAAAAATTTTTTTGATATTATGAATTTGACTGCAGAATTCACCTAGATATTCAAAATAAATTGAGACATCTAATTTGTTAGAAACCCCCAAGCTCTGGGGGTACTGGGGTGGGAGCAATTTTCTATAAGGTAACGGTGTTTCCTGTAAAATTCCAGAAGCTCTTCCCTGGGCAATTCATCTATCCTTCCACGTTCATCTGACACTTCTTAGACACTGCCCGTGAGGTGACTGAGGGAGAGTCTAGGGTGGAGGGGGCCGAGGGGGGATCTCAGGGCTGGGGGAGAGAGAGGGAGGAACTAAGCCTACGCTCCACACACTCCCGGCAGGTGCCGGGAAGCAGAAGGCGGGAGCTATATGGAAGGTTCTTGAGCTCAGCCCTGTCTGGACCACAGGGTGACTTTGCTGAGGTGACAAGCATGGGAGCTTGATCACGGAAGGTGTGGAAACAGTCTGGGGCTCTGAGGCCCACCCTGTCCGTGCCCTGGCCCACTATGTGACCTGGGAGGAACAAAGGCAAGGTGCCAGACTGCACAACTGACCCACACGGCCTGCTGTCCTCTGACCTCCCTGAGGGTCTCAAAGGCAGGAATGGAGTCTGTGAACTCGTGTCACTATTCTTCAAAGCCGGCTGCCAGACACTGTGTCTGTCCTGGAGGAGGCCGCCCAGGCTCATGGAAATGTCAAGTGCCCGTCTTTGCTCTGGGCTGACATCACCTCTGCGTGGGAACAAAGCGCGTGCTCATGCCGAGCCTGTCTGGTTTGGCAGTGATCTGTGTTCTTGTTTGGTTTCAAAATAGGGGGCCCAGAAGGCAAAACCATGAAAGATGCCCTTGTTGGAAGAAATGTTCAGGAGCCCAGCTGATGGCCTCCCTCTGGGCTTTGGCTGAGAAGAGGCAAGAGTCACACACCCAGTCCCCAATGTCTGGGTTCCTAGGGGAGGCTGGAGGCCCCCCTGCTACCTGGGAAGCCCCAGGTAGAGCCCTCATTATGCGACTTTATCGTGGGGGGCGGGGAGTGGGGGGAAAGGGGCAGCAATCTCGGCTAACGCTCTTGTAACACAGCGCAGTCCATTTCCACATTTGCAGGGAAGGGCCATTCTCACTTCTCATAGCTTTGGCGACTCAGCATGTCAGGCGATCTTATGAAGAAGTCGGTTGGATCCTCATATTACAGACGAGGAAACAGAGGCTCAGCATGAGCAAGGAACTTGTCCAAGGTCACGCAGGTCATCCCAAACTCATTTAACATACATGTGAGGGGCTCCTATGTGGCTGGCACTGACCTTGGGGCTCGGACCCAACGGAATAAGGTAGACAAAGTTCCCCCTCTCACAGCGTGGACATCTTCGTGGCTGAGAGAGACAACACAGGTAAACAAGCCAGAACGTCAAGAGTCTCTGTGAAGCGGATTAAACAGGGAGATGTGGCAGGATGTGACTGGTGTGGGACCAGGGCAGGCCTCTGCCAGGAGGCAGCATCTGAGCTGAGGTCTGAATGACAGGAAGGAGCCAGCCGTGTAAAGACCCCGATCAGGTGCTTTTCCCTAGGACGTTCCGGCAGCCTGAGTGGCCCCCGACGGGTCTCACTATCAGCGTCAGCAGCGGTGGGATCCCCCGCCAACAGGTGCATCGTGGAGTTGGCTCTGCGGTCCAGCTGCAGGGCCAGTTGGTGAGAACTCGAGGGACCAGATGAAGGCTGGAAACAGGAGAACAAATCCTAGTGAGGATGGCCCAAGACAGTCCACGGAGCTCCTGGTGTTGCCAGGTGTCCCCACTGCCTGCTCACCTGCCTCGGGTCCCGGGATGGACGGCAGCTCTCGAAGGCCTAGCTCTTCTGGTCTGATCCAGGCCAGAGCCTCAAACAAGCCTCAGTTCTGTCCTGTGAGGGGACCAGATGTCTTCAAGGGACAGGTGGACACAGGCGGTGGCTGGGCTTTCTCTGGTTCTATTTGATCCAGGCCCCAGGGAAACAGTGCTCTCCCCAGTGAGGTGGGGGGGGGATGGTTAAAGGTCAAGGCTGGAGGGAGGGGGGGCCCTGCTGGCTTGGCCCAGCACCGGCCTTGGCCGTCTGCCTGCCTTGTGCGTCAGCGTGGGCCTGTGGCCTCGCAGCTTTGCCTGGCTGCCCTGGTTCTCCTCCTGGAACTGACCCTTGCCGTTTCTGAAATCCTAAGATTCCTCAACTACCCCTCTCTGCTTCATGGCTTAATCCACCAAAGGGAACCAGGAGGCTGACCCGGTGCCCCTTTCGGCCCCAGGAGGCAGGCTCAAGTGGACTGAATGACACTGAGGGTGGGGAACAGGGAACACAAAGCCGGCAGAGGGCAGTGCCTTGCCCCCACTCCTGGGACGGAGCAGGTGCTACGAGAGACCCAGGGGCCTAGGGCTTGGCTAGGGCCACTTGCGGCGGGGATTATGCCCACCTGTCTGTGCCTCAGTCGCTCTGAAAGAAGGTACACACACCACCTCCCTCTCAGGGTGCTGGGCTGACACCGGCCTCCAGAAGGACTCGGGGGCCAGCAGTGCTATGGGCCTCCCGAGGGACAGCTGGAGAAGCTGAGGAGGGGGAGAGAGCCTGGAAGACGGTTCTGCAGGCTCTCGGCCCAGAGCCCCTTCCCGGCAGAGGGGCGGGGGCATCGGGAGCCTTAGACGCCACCATCCAAACCCTGACCTTTTGCTTTTGTTTCTAAGCAGACGCTCTTGTTAGAGGGGGAAGTTCTTAATTCCTATAAAGCAGGAAGAGGCCAGTATTTATGGAAAGTCCTCCACCCAAACAAAACCAAAACAAAGCAGAGCAACTCCCTGGATGTCCACAAACTGCTGACAGGGGGAGGGCAGTGTCCTAGTGACCTGCAGCTCTGTCGGCCACACCACTGCCCACAGGGCCTAGAGAACTGTCACCCTCTCCAGATGTGCGGGGACAGGGATGCCGGACAACCTAGCGCTCTCCCCTTGGGCGGTGAGGCTGGCAGGCCGGGTCCCAACAGAAGGCTGGGCCTCGCATCCGCACTCTGCCACCGCCCAGCAAGCGAGCTGGGGCCTCCGGCTGCCGACGGGGACGGGGAGGCTCCACCTCCCGAGGCCGCGGCGATGGGAGGCCTCAGTAACTGCACTTTTTTTTTTTTAATTTTTATTTTTAGAGAAAGAGAGGGAGGGAGCAGGGGAGAGAGAATCTCAAGCGGGCTCCACGCTCACCATGAGGCCTGACGCAGGGCTTGATCCCACGGCCCTGGGATCAGGACCTGAGCCGAAATCAAGAGTCAGATGCTCTACGGACGGCGCCAGCCCGGCGCCCCCGAAGCACTGTGAACGCACGTTGTGCAAGACCACCAGTTACCCTTCCTTTATTGCAGTAAAAAAGTGATTCTATTTCTAGAACCAAACAGCATCACAGAGACATTCCTAGGAGCCCGACAAGAAAAGAACGCTCTTTGTTCGCAAGCCCTTGTGTCACCTGCGCAACAGACACAGCTCCGTGGTCAGGGTCCCCGCCAAGAGGCGCCGGTCCTCCTCGGGCACGGCCCCCTCGGAAACTGCCCCCTGCCCCCCAGCGCAGCACCCTGGGCCCCGCTCGGCTGCGGGGAGCACCGCAGAGCGAGCAGGGCCTCAGCACTGGCCTCCGATCATCCGGAGTCTGGGCACCCTGGAGGCCGCACGCGGCGGTGGCCCCTGGTGAGCTGGGTCTGGGGTGTCGTGGGCCAGGGTCCTGGGAGCCGGGGCGGGGCAGAGGGGCCCGGGGAGGCCTCAGACCCCGGAGAAAAGGTCTGAGTGCGGCTCCATCACCCACTGTGGGAGTCGGGCGGGCTGTGGGCCTCCTGCCTCCTCTTCCCCAAGCGGGGGGCGGCACTCCCGGCCCACAGCCCTGGCGGTGGCCTCTGCCCACCGACAGCAGAGAGCACATGTGATACGGTCTCAGGGCCTGGGCCGGTCTGCTCCTGTCCCCAAGTGTATGTCAAAGCGGTGCGTGTCTCTGAAGCCCTCGGTCACCCGTGACAGCTGGTATCCAAAACCTCTTCCCTTCTGGAAGTGTTCCCCACTGTTCTTTCAAACGAGCCCCCAGGCCTGACTCGTGACCTGTTTTTTCCTTACAGCCGATAGAACTTGTCGTTGGCGGTAAAGCCGGCTAATTTTAGCAGCTCCCCGGTCCGGGGCCTTCCTCGGCCCGGGAAGGGAGACAGCAGAGCCAGCTCACCCCGACCCAGGGCCTCCCCATTCCTGGAGGGCCTGGCGAGCCACCGTCCCGCTCGGTCTCTGCCTGCCTCTATGGGGGGGCTCCTGTTGGATCAGTTCCCTCTCGTTCCTTTCCGCTGGACCTGCCCGTGCAGAATACCCCAAACTCCCACGGCCTTCCCTGGTCTCATTGCCACTGAAAACCACCCAGGCAGGCCCAGGGACGGGGGCAGGCTTTGAAGGTGCAGATGCCAACCAGGGTTCCGCTGAGGAGGCCTGAGAAGAAGAAAAGAGGTGGGGGGGGGACACCGCCCTGAGTGAGGGGAGCAGTCAGGGCAGCCTGGAGCTCTTCAAGAAGGTGGTAGCCTGAGAAAGCCGTGGCTGGGGCTGTGAGATTGCCAGGAGAAACTCCCCAGCTCGTCCCAAAGTGAGGGCTCATGGTGGCTGGTTCTCACTGAGCCAGTGTTGTGAGACACACAGTGGTCCTGAGTCTGCCCAAGGGCGGCCTCGGCCCTCTGTCGCAGTGAACAAGTCTGCACTGTGCTCTCCTCGAAATGCTGTCACCACTAGCTGTCTTGGGCTGAGAGTATAGTGCAGGCCGGGGCACAGCCCCCCCCCGCAGGGCACGAAACCAGGAGTGGTATAGGAGAAAGGACCATCCCTTGAAGCTGGGCCTGTCTAGCATACAGGTCCTCGTGGGCCATTCCTGAGTCCGGGAGCTATGGCCGTCACCACCTCTGCCATACGTGGTCCCGCAGCTCAGGAGCGGTAAAACTTCGGCAAAGTCCACATGAGAATGAGCCGACCATCCTCCCAGGAGTGGGAAGCGAGTGGGCAGGCAGCGAGGCCCCGTCTGAGCTGGAGCTGCTGCTCTGGGTGTGTGTTGGTGGACTGCAGGGTGAGGGTCGGCTCTGGCTGTGGGGCTGGGGAGACTCAGTCAGGGACAGCTGCTACCCCTCTGACAAAGAGGCCCCCTGCGCAGCCGGCCCCTCAGGCCACAGGCCAGACAACAGAGTTCTTAGGGTACTGACAAAAAAAAAAAAAAAAAAATCAATCTCTTTTCCAAGTTCTAGCTATAGCTGACTATAGGATTAACTAAGAAATTTGGGGGGCACCGGGTGGCTCAGTGGGAGTTCTTGAGGTCTGACCCAGGCCTGATCTCCGCGTTGGTGAAGATTCAGAGCCCCAAGTCAGGCTCTGTGCTGAGCATCTCAGTCGGAACCTGCTTCAGATTCACTGTGTCTCCTTCTCTCTCTGCCCCTCCCCACTCACACTGTGTCTCCTGTCAGTGTCTCTCACTCTCTCTCAAAATAAACATTAAAAAAAAAAAAGTCAAGTTAACTGGGAATTTAATAGAATGGATCACCCAGGTTCAAGGGCTTGATGGCCACTTGCGCACCCCTATCGTGGCTCTCCGTGTGAGACCGCGGGACATTCCCACCCACCTCAGGCCGCTGAGCTGGGGGGGGGTCATTCCAACTTCTCCAGATCTCACTGATCTTGTCAGGAAGGATTCTTCTCCCAAAAAAACTCACTCACTCCTTCTCTCCCTCACACTGGCTGGGTAGGGGCCAGGGCCCCGTCGTCAGAGCTCCCTGGGCACCCCCCCCCCCACCCCCGTCACAGGAGGCAGCCTAACAGCAGGGTATCCTGCCCACCCGCCCTCTGCACACTCCAGCACCACCCCAGCCCCCAGCACCAGCTGCGCCCACAGTGGGCCCTGTTAGTCGCTCAGATGCAGGGGCCAGTCGAGGTGCGGAAAGGGACGGCTGAAGCTCTCCGCTGCCATGCCTCACCTCTGCCTCTGTGAGCACCGCTCCTGGGGCGCTCAATGCACTCGAGATGCCTGCGGCTCAGCAGCCAGCAGGACCTGTGCAGGGAGGGTGGGAGCAGGGGAGACGCGTGGAGGCGAGGGAGACAGGAGGCCCCCTGGAGGCCAATCTCCCTCCCAAGGGCCTTTCAGGTGGCGCATCCTCGAGTGAGCTGGCTGTAGCATCCCTTATTCTGTGCCAGGCTGAATGGAAACCCGAACCCTGGGTCCCCTGGTGAGGTGGGGTTGAAGTGGACATTCCACAGTAGAGGTGGGGAGACACCAGACCTGTGGGAGCAGGTCTGCAGAGAACCCAGCCAACCCACCTCACTCCTGCGTCCCGGGCGCCTCCCGCTGCCCTCCACACAAAGCTCCCCCACTGCTCAGCTAGACAACTCCTTTAAAGAAATGAGAGACACTTCAGTCAAACACGGCTCTGGCAAAGCAACAAGCAGGACAAGGCAGACAATGTCCCCCAAACACTGACGCCACCACCCGGGAGGCAGACCTGCAGCCAGCACGTGCTCAAGGCAGGGCAAAGATGAGAAAAGAAAAAACAAGACAGCTTCCCATGAGGGAAACTAATCTGTGGACCCACAGGAAAACCGACCAGCGGGCGCGATCATGTCGGCCGTCTCCTGACCCCACTCATCTGCTCTGCCTGGAGCCTCCACCCTCCTGACTGACTTCAAGTAGGCTGCCGAGACCACTTGGGAGCTGTGTCCCTCCGGCCTCTACACCTAGGAAAGGCCCGGGGGGAAGGGGCAGAGGAATTTCAGAAGATGCAGGGATGCCCCTATGCCCCACTACCGGCGTCGGCAGGGACATTTCCCGGCCTGGCCGTTCGTCAGGTCCTCCCGGGAGGTGGGCCCGAGGGCGCCCGGGGTGAGGTGAGGGCTTACCCGAGGTGAGGTGGGGGTGGCCTCATCCCAGGGTGGGCTGTGGGGCCCCCATTGACCAGCCCCAGCCTGGGAGGGCATGTGAGGAGAGGTCCCCACTAGTCTTGCTGGTGCTCTGGAAAGCAGCTGGCTGGGCTGCAGGGACCACCACTGCAGCCTCCTGTAGCTCAGGGAGAGAGAGAGAGAGAGAGCAGTGGGCTGCAGGCAGCAGCTGGGGGGGGGGGGGGTGGTCCCTGGGGTGGTGGGAACAGGGCTACTGCAGGAGACCTGGCTGAGGGACCAGCGATCTGAGGTGCCGAGGAGGGAGGCATGGTCCTCTGCCCCGTTGGGACAGCGAAGGGACATCTGTCTCATGGCAGACTCTTCTAGGCGGGCAGGGAGATCCTCTCGGCAACAACGCACGGCCGCTGCTCAAAGCGGGAAGAGTGAGTGCCGAGCAGGCTCAAGGAAAGGGTTACTGCCTGGCTTCCCACGACGCTTTCAGCCAAGGGGTAGGCTGAGGTCGGCCCAATGAAAATATGGTTGCAATAACAACAAGCTAGAGAAAACTCCAGTAACCACAGTGTCCGTGGGAGAACAAATGCATCTGTGCTGCCTGCACGCTAAGGCTGGCTCGTTTGAAAAAAGAAAAGGAAGCGCAGCCCCTAGGAACCGATGGTCGTGACACTGAGCAGCATTGGGAGAGACACAAAAAAGAACCATCGCCTCTCTTCCCGAGCAAGCCGACTGCAGAATTACAAAGGCAGAAAAGGAAGCGTCTCGCCCCACCCCCGACACTGTCCAGGGTCAGAGCCAGGTTTCGGGGTACCCTCTGACCACAGGCCTGACCTCGCCTCTGTCTCTTCCTTCTAGAACCTCAGTTCTTCAGTAGAAGGGATGCCATCTGTCTCTAGGGTTTTAGGGACTAAAGGAACTACATGGGTAGAGTGCCAGGCACACACCAGTGGCAGCCGTCACCCCTGTTATGTGGCTTCGAGGCTTGGCAAAGTGCTTGTCCACACACTCAGGTCTTTAGGAGGTAGGCGGGCAGGTGCTATAATCCACATTCACAGGCAAAAGGGAAAAAAAAAAAAAGCTGAACTCAGCTCGGAGAGGCTTGAAGTCAGAGAGCCCGGATTGTAGCCAGGCCAGGCCCCTGGTTCTGTGTCCACTGCCGGCAGCAAAGCCCCCCACAGCCCCGGCCGGCTTCCTCCCACGGCCTCCTGTCCATGCTGTGCGCATACCTGGGGCTGGGGACGCTGCGGGCTGGCTCATCTCGCCTAGTGGGTAGCCGAAGTTCCTCACCAGCAAGGTCATGTCCTCATGCCTGGGGCAGAACTTGGCACGCTCCCCACCACTGGCAAAGGTGTCACCGTGGATGCGCTTCACCCGGTCCACCACGGCCTGGGCCACCGCATCCAGGGAAGTCTGCTTGGCGAACTCAGTGTCGATCATGGCGGCGATCTCCTGGAGGAGGGGGATGAACCTGGTGAGGAATGGGGTGGGGCCCCTGGACTGTGGGCCACAACTCCAGAGCCTAATCAGGATGCTTACGGGGCATCAGCCAAACAGGTGAAGGAAGTCACCACCAGTCAAGCCTGTAAGCCGAGCTTTTCAAGGTATTCAGGATAATTCTTCTGGAACTTTCTCATTAGTAAAGGTGTGACCTTGTGATTTCTCCGAGTATTGGCCTCCACACCAAAACAATGGGGGCTAATGTCCACCTCGCTACGTTATTAAGGGAATTAAAAAACACAATGGATGGGAGGACATTCTGGAGACCACTAAAAAGTGCCGAATGAATTGTCGTTATTACTAAGCTTCCTTTCCTGGAACTTCATGTAGGCTACGATATGCCGTTTATACTAGAAAGTGGGAGTACAGAGTGAAGGTGGGCCCTGTCCTCAGAGAAATCCACTATCCAGTTTTTTCTAGAACCCAGCAAAAGCCACTAGCTAATTCTATGGCAAAAACCCAAACTGAAAAATCACACTGACAGTAAGATCACAAACACAAACTCCTCTACGGGATGGCTGGCCAGAGTCTCTTAGAAGTAAAGTAGGGGGGCTGGGGCAGGTCACAGGAAGTGACTGAGCCCCATCCGGGGTGGGCTCGGCTCTGTCGCTGTCACTTCAGGCAAGACCCTGAACTCTGTGAGCCCCAAGTTCCTTACCTCAATGTGTCAGTGAGCCCCTGCCTCCTGTGCTACAAGGCTACTGGCAGGGATGATAAGATAAAACAGGTGAAAAATCTTGAACACGGGTTATCAGGAGACAGGCATAAGTTTTCCACGTGATTTTTAATTAGAAAGGACAAAGTAGAAAAGGTTACCTTCCTACAGGAATTGCAAATGGAAGGAGAAACACAGCCTGAATTTACTATCCAAGGTCAGGTAAAGGCAGCCTCCCTGCAAAACCATCCTGAAGTGACTGTCTCAAAGCCATGCTTTAGTGACAACTATCTGACACGTGTGTTCCAAGTGCAGCGAAAATAAGCAGCTCCCACTGGCTGGGGAACCTATCACACCTGGCCCTCAACACAATCCCCAAAAGCTAGGTGTTATCACCCCATCTCGGAGATGAGAAGCAAACTATAATCCGGGGGCTCAGCTCAGAGGGGAGGGAAGGGGAGGGAGGGGAGGGGGCCAAGGGAGGCTGAGGCACAGGCCACACCCCTCTGGGCTCTCGTCCTCCGTCCAGGGCCCTTCCTAGACAGACTTCAGAACAATTTGCCCATGGACATTCACTTCCTTCTCTCCCTCTTCCCTTCCAGCTGTGCTCAGCGCCGTGGGGACTGACCCTGCTTCAAGCCCAGAACGAGCACAGCTTTGGGTGGGATGGGTGTTCTTGGAGCTCTGAGCCTTTTCTCCCCCCGGCTTTGAATGCAGAGAAGCTGTCCAGGGCTGGTATTCGAGAGCTAGAGCTCTGGGTCCCGAAGCACTTTGGAGCCAAGCAGAAGGGCTGGCTGGGCCCCCGGGGGAGCTTGCCACTCTGCGGGCCAGCTGGCAGGGCTCTGCCCGGGCCCGGCTCACCTGGTTGGCCTGCCCAGGCCCGTGGGCTGCCTCCAGGGCCTTGTACAGCCCCTCCGACATCAGCACCAGGAAGCCGGTCACCCCCTCCAGGGGCTGTGCACCGTGGATCTCGGGTTCTGCAATGATAGGCTTGGACTTGGCAGCACTGTAGGAAGAGAGTTGGGGGAGAGCCGTGCTCAGAAGGGCCCCCAGAGGACATTTTTCTGCTAAGGGCCAGAATCTACCCAGAATGTAAACTAAAACGCACATCTGACAAGAGGAAAAGAAACAGGAAAGAGAAAACCAGGAAAACAGACCTGTCTTCTGAGGGCCAGGAAAGCGAGTGGGGCAGCTGGGTCAGGACAGCGAAGGTCGGGCACCCACTCCCGACCCTGGTCGACATCTCCTGTCCACAGAGCCTGTGCAGTGGCAGTGACGACGGCGAGAGGGGGTGGATCGCTTTCAGAAGCCCACTCCTCCTGGGCTCTTCCAGAACAAGTATCCAAGCCGACTCAGATGCCACGTACGCGTCCCCCCCCCCCCCCCCCCCCCCCCCCCCCCCCGCACTGGGACCCTTAACGGAGGCGCTGGCAGAGTCAGCGAATGTCACAGAACTCTAACACGTGCGTGTGCGCATGGAGCCAAGCAGAAGGGTTCCCGGCAACAGCACCCAGAGGAGCAAAGTCTGGAAACGTCCTGGGAGCCCATGAGTAGGGGCCGGTGAGGTGAGCGCTGATGCAGCCACACTCTGGGACTCCGCAGCCCACACCCCGCCCTCAGGGACAGAGGAGCGGCACCCGTCAGGGAATAAGTGAGGTGCGGCGCTCTGGACAGCAGATGCCAGCACTTGTGGGTGCTTTAAAAAGGATGCTTTTGGGGCGCCTGGATGGCTCAGTCAGTAGAGTGTCCGACTTTGGCTCAGGTCATGATCTCGCGGTCCGTGAGTTCGAGCCCCGCGTCGGGCTCTGTGCTGACCGCTCAGAGCCTGGAGCCTGCTTCGGATTCTGTGTCTCCCTCTCTCTCAAAAATAAACATTAAAAAGGATGCTTGCCCCGTCCATGCACACGCACACACACACACACGCACATGTGCACGTGGACACGATACACAAGAAACCAGCAGCTTCTGGGGAAGGAGTCTAGCCTTGCGGCGGGAGGAAAACTTACTTTTCGTTGTATACCCTTGGCGCTATTTGAATTGTTCTAAACTACATGTGTACCTTCCAATTAAGCAAACAGAACTCCTAAGCAAACAGAACCCCACAAATCAGAGACAAAGGTTTCCAAACTCAATTGCCTAAATTTGGTGAGAGTAAGGAGTTTTAATTCCTGCTTTCTGGGCCACGACGAGCCTGGCTCTGACGCCAGGGTGTTTGGTATGATTCCCCCATGGCTCCCCCATCAAATACCGCGATGGCAACACACACACGCACACACAAGCCTATTTTCCCAGTCAATGTTAAGGATGTTGCTCTGGATTCAGGAGGCCTGGGTTCGAGTCCTGCCTCGGCCCCCTGCTAGCCCTGTGACCAGGCAGACTACCATTTCCTCACAAGAACACAGCTTTGGGACAACAAGCTCACAAGACCTGAGTAGGGACTGAGTAAGAACGCACGTAAAGAGCTGGGCACAGGCTTGGTACAATGAAGGCCCACGATCATCATCGCGGCCCATCTGCTGCTACGAGCACTGGGTGGCACCCACAAGGGCAGTGTCCTCCGAGGGCTGTGTGCAATTTGTCTCACACCTCTGCCCCGGCCCCAGCAACGGACAGCACTGACCAGCAGGTCTTTGGTCCGTCCCTATCCACACCAGGCAGCTCGTGCCAACGCCGTCCTCTTATGTCAGGCCCTGTGGCACTGGTCGCCACGCTTGGCTTTGACCCAGCTCCCCACCATGACCCAGTGTGATAACCCTGCTTGTAACCAGAGTCCGGACACCAAGATAAGGGCCTGAGCTTAGGATTCCCGCCGTAAGTTCCCGCTTTGCCGCTCCTGGCAGCACCTTTTAAAATAACCACTTAGAATTAAGGCTTCCAAAAGCAGTGACCTCCACCCCAACCACCTTGAAAGTAATAGGTGCTTGCTACCCTACGCTAGAACCCCAACTCCCGGTTCGTTGGGTTTAGGGCCACACGCCAACATCTCTGGGAGGAAGAAAGGTCTTCTTGGGCTCTGAATTACCTCAAACTACCTTTTGTCCCTAGAGCCTAAAGTCTGCTTTTGCCCAGGCCCTCTGGCCTTACAAACAAACAGGGGGCAGCTGGATGGGCCACCTACCTCAGTAGGTCGATGTCAGCGTAGCCGTACTTGACCTTGTAATCCCCGATGCGCCTGGTGCTCTCCTGCCCACAGATGACCCCCACTTGCTTGATCTTTCCTGCATCCAAACCTGCCAGAGGGAGGACAACAGGATCCCAGATCTTGTCCGTCATGAGAAACTCAAACAAGCGGATCCAGACACAGCCACAAAAACAAGGCAATGAAGACCCAGCGAACAGAGAATGAAGTCACACCAGGACGGCCTGGAGAGCGGCTACCCCGAAGCGCCCCGGGGTCCCCAGAGCCCAGCCCCATCAGAACGCCCCCTCACTCAGCGGCCTGGGCTGCAGAGCTCCCTGGGAAGTCGGGGGGAGGGGGCAGCTAGGCCGAGGTGGCTGCAATCCTGGGACTTCTTTGGCCTTTTAGTCTCCGCCGATCACAGTACCTACCGCACGCTCGCTACTCTCGCGAACACTTTACACATACGGACTCTCGACCCTCACAACGCCCCAAGACAGGTGTTACTATGATTCTCATTACACAGATGGGGAAACTGAGGCACAGAAAACTTGGGAAATTCTGCGTATCACCAGCTAGTAAGGGGCAGAGCTGGGATCCACCCCCAAGGTCACGGCCCAAGCAAGCCCTTCACGCCTCTCTCTACGTGGACACCGGAAGAGGACGCAGGGGGAGCCGTGGAGGGGTCGGCCCTACCCTCGCTCACCCAGCTGAGAGAGGCGGAAGAGCTCGTCCTCGTTCTCCGTGGTGTGGTCCACGTTCAGCTGGGTCACCTGCAGCCCGTCCACCGTGGATTTGCATAAAAGGGCACGGTTCGTACCTGCAGCACAATTTGAGCGGCTGAGCAAAGTCTGGGTGCAGCGAGGGGCAGGACACGTTGAGCAGAGAGAGAAAAGTCAGGCATCTCACACAAGGAAATCCTTGAAACGAGCAAAGAAAATAGGCTTAGACCACTGGGGTGAGTCACCAGTCAGGGCGTGCTGAGGATATTAAGGAATTAGGTTAAACTTTTCCAGTGTCATCCTAGGATGATTAGGATTTTACTAAGAGACCTTTTCTCTAGGGAGACATACTGAAATATCTACAAAGAGAAAACGACACGATGTCTGGGGTTTGCGGGGACAAAGGGCGGCAGAGGAAGTGAGACTGGCCCCAAGGAGGTGATCGCTGTGGCCGAGGTATGGGCACACGGGGGTTCGCTACGTGCTTATCTTTTTACATTTTTTAATTCTGTCCACAATGAAATCCAAATGTCCCTGTGGCCCCTCACCCAGCCCGTCTCGCCGCCCTTTGTGGGATGCCGAGTGGGTGTTCTAGAGCCAGGCAACCTCTTCCTGAAGGGGAAGCCACTGAGGCGACCCAGAGAGGGGGCGCAACTCGCCCAGAGTCAGTTGGGGCAGGGCGGGGACTAAAGCCGGGACGCCTGCCTCCTAGCTGGTACCTCCAGCTCCCCGGGCTGGGACTGGGACGTTCCTGCGGAGAAACAGGGAGACACACCCAACAGTCTCAGGAGAAGCGGGCTGGAGGGCTGACGTGTCTGGGAAGCGGACAGTCCAAAGAACACACAGACCTTGAGGCTACCTCTTGCCCAGCACTCCCCGCCCGGGGACGGGTAGGCGGCTCACCGACATTGGCGACATAGAGCCTGTTGTTGAGAAGGACCGCCACAACAGCCATGGCTCCTCCCGAAATCTCCCTCTCCAGTGCCTTGAGTCTTTCGAGGATCTTCTGGTACTGAGGAAGCAGCTGGTGCTGAGGGACACCCTACAGGCCGTCATCAGGGGGTCAGAGCAGGCCGGGTCCTCGGAGACCATCTCACCAGCCACCCCCTCCCTTCGAAGGCAAGGATCTGAGGTCCGGGCCAGGATGAAGCCGCACTGTAGCCCCAGGCAGGCTTCTTGCAGGAAAGCCAGACATGACCCGACTTGTGCCGTCAGTTCTGAAAGTGCCGGTGGCTGATGTGAGCGGGTGGGTGACGGGGCTACGCACAGGGTGAGGTCGGGGACTGAACCGGAAGGGCCTTTCCTCATATTCTTCACTGCCCGCCCCATGCTGGGCCGGAGTGAAGCTGCCGGCATGGGCCGGGGAGGCCTCTTGCAAGGGCCCCTGCGAACGCATCGTCCCCCAGTCCCTCAGGCAGGAACGAGTCTGTCACCCAGTCCCCTGAATCCTGCTGCTCTGGCCCAGTCGTGTCAGTGGCCTGACAGTGACATGGAAGGGAAGTCCTTGCTCCTAGCAAAGCCAGGCCTTGGCGTGCTCCCCCCCCCACCGCCGGGGAGCAGGCCGGGGGATTACCTCTGGCAGCTGGGACTGGAGGCTGGCCTTCTCAGCCAATGCGTCATCAATGGACTCCAGGAAGCTCCTCTCCACCACATCAAAGGCCTGGAGGCAGAGGACAGGGAGGGGTGTCAGGGCACAGGCCAGTTCAAAATACCACCGTCACCAGATACTGAAATGCGTCCTATTAATAGTGACAAACTCTGTATTAACTGCAGGTGGTCACGTGATGCGGGCTTCACAGGGGGCTCTGCAAGGCTACGTCTCCTAGAGAGCAACCTCCGGCAGAGACATCAGCTCCACGGGGCTGGTCGCTGCTAAGGTGGCACCGTGGAGACCAGAGAGGCAGGAGGCGGCGCAGGAGTTACCAGCAAGGCTGGGAATCTGGTCACCGGGGGTGAAGCCCACGTCCGCCACCCGCCCGCTGGGCAGTCTCCACCTCCTCATCCACGTGGGAGGCAAGCGCTACTCTGAAGGTGACGGAGACAATGCACCCTGTGCCCCCAAACCCCGGCTCAGAGTAAGTCTAGATCAGTGCCACCTAGTATCGCTACTACGTCCTGCCAGTCCCTCGACGCCGGTCACATGGCTGCCTTTGAGGGGGGGAGGGTGCAGCCAGAGTCACTGGCGCGGGGCCCTGAGGCCACGGAGGCCTCTGGCCCAGGTGCTGATGCTGGAAAACGGCCGAGAACAGTTTTCGAGGAACAGGAATCCATCCTTCTCATCTTAAAGTAAGTGCCTCTGGACGAGCTTCCAACAAGAGGTGCCAGGAACAAAAGCTCCAGAACGGCCCACAGAAACCAGAACCGGCCAATGAGCACCCGCGAGGAGCAGGGCCCAGCGGTGCCGGCAGCCACCGGAGACTGAGCACCCGAGCCTCACCTGGAGGAACGGGATCGCCCTCGGTTACCCTGTTTCCACCCGAGCTCAGCCCCCGCCCACTGCACCCGTGGGTCTGAGGCGGCATCCCTAACGCCCCTCCCCCAGGAGCATCTCCTCCACAGCCCACCCTGCAGGTCAAGGGGAAGGACCGCAGCTGGCTGGCTGCCCGGTCCTGCGCTCTGGGAAGGTGGGGAGCCCCTGTTCTCATAAAACAACTTTGTCCTTCTGAGTTGCTGCCTCGGCGTCTGCCAGTGTGATAACCCTGCTCGTAACCAGAGTCTGGACACCAAGATAAGGGTCTGAGCTTAGGATTCCCGCCGTAAGTTCCCGCGTCGCTGCTCCTGGCAGCAACTTTTAAAATAACCACTTAGAATTAAGGCTACAAAAAGTAGTGAGCTCCACCGCGACCAACCTGGAAGTAATAGGTGCTCGCTACCCTGCTCTTTATCTCCCGCTGGCTCTGGACTCAGGAGGGAGGACTGTCCTCCTCCCCAGGCCAGGGGCGCCCCCTTGCTTCGGGATCTGTAAGTAATAATAAATCTGTGACACTACCTCCTTTCTGGGGCGGTACTGAGACTGTGCCTTCAATCAAAACAGCCCCCACGGGTCTCACATCCCCAGAGGGGACATGTGCTTGGATGCTGAGGGAGCTACCTGCTGACCCCGTGTCATCAGGTTATAATCTACGTAATCTTAATCAATATCCCAGCTCTGGCTTCTCAATACCATTGGTGACAAGGAGAGGATCTCCTTTTTTTTTTTTTTTTTTAATTTAATTTGAGAGAGAGAGAATGAATCTTAAGCAGGCTCCATGCTCAGCACAGAGCCCAATGCTGGGCTCCATCCCACAACCCTGGGATCGTGGCCTGAGCTGAAATCAAGAGCCGGCCGCTCACCCAACTGAGCCTCCCAGGTGCCCTGCAGTCTGTACCCTGTACGATGCCTCGGGGCTGCGAATGGCTCACAAACTTCCTCTCCCGGACGGACAGGGCTCTCTGCGAAGGAAGCACTGCTTGCTGGCAGTCCGTGGCGTTGCTTGGCACTGCCTCTGGGTGTTGCCACAAATCCCCACCCTAAGTTGTTACGCTGTAAAAGATCGGACTCCCCTGCAGCGGCCGACCGGCAGGCCCCAATCTGAGGTGGCTGTGTTTCCCATTAGTCTCTAAAGGAGACCCCACTGGGTGTCTGGTCTGGAGGTGACTGGTTACATCGCACGCGAAAGCTGAGCCACAGTGAGCTAACTAGGACGGAAGGACTCTGCCTCCTTCCCAGCAGGGGCGCAGGCCGTATGGCCCTGGAAGCCAAAGAGAGTTCCCCTAGGTTAGTGCTGGAAAGGGAGGCTGGCGGCTGGGGCCACTGTGCTGGTGGTTGGGGCTGGGTGTTAAGCTTGGGCAGCCGGCCCCAACCGGTGACAGAGGCAACTCTACCAGGGGCATCCTGGCACCCCGGGCCAGCGCCTCCAGTGTTGCTGCCTTCCCTGCCGCTGTCGCAGATCGTCCCCTAACCCCACGGGATACTGGCAGTCCCACCCCTGGTGTGGTAGAGCAAAACGCACCCTCGCTAAAAGCAGGGCCCCCGAGCACACGGTACCAGCTCCTCCCAAGTCCCCAAAGGAGGTTGAAAATCGACTAGACTCTTGTAAGAACCCCGCTCACGTGGCTTGGGCCTTACTGGGCACAATGGCATATTGCACCCAACTGCTCTTGCTACATTCCCGGGGCCGGGGGCCTCTCCCAAAGGCACTGGTGAGTGCTGCGCTGGTTGAGGTGGACCTAACTCCCGGGAGATATACTGGGGCACCCTAGGGCAGGACGCAGCAGCCCCCATCCCAGGCGTTCCCTGCTACCGTCCGTCGAACTGAGATGTCCAACAACGACCAGTGTGAACCAGAAATGGAGACAGGGGACTATACCACGCTAGCAGTGCAAGGTTTTCTAGAAAAATGTGCCCAAAGTGGGGAGGAGAAGGGTGCTGATTGGCTCTTCTGGGACTTTGGAACAGCTCCCACCTGCTGTTTGTGGCGGCTGAGATGCGCCAGTTGGCTGGGTGGCCCAAGACTCTACAATTCATACTTTGTTAAAAACACAAAAACAAAATAAAAAAACCCAGGGTATTGAGGACCCATTTTGTCAGGGACACCCTAGAGGACCCCTGGACTTGTCACCACAGCAAGGGGGCCAAATGTGTCAGGCCACAAGGGCAGGAGACAGACGAAATAAAAAAGGGGGTGGGCTCTGAGGAAGAGATCCCCGCAAGCTTGCAGAGCCCTTGGAGATAAGGAGAAAGAAGGTCCCGTGTCCTGACTCAGATTTTGGCACTGGGCCCATCCCTCCGTTGACATCAGAGTTCAGGCTCACCGTAAGCGGACAACCCTGGATGAGACACCTCCTCTCAGCCAGAAACCGGGATGGGTCAGCGGGTCCGTCATTTTGCTAAGTGGTACGTTTCCACACTCCCTGACCGTGTCCAACCCAGAGGAGGCACCCCGGGGGCCAGAATCTCAAGAGTTTTACTTAAAGGGTAAGCCCCCCCCCCCAAAAAGGCCATGCTGTTACAACTTATAGAAACGTCAGATACAGTACCGCAGACATTAGGTGGTACCAATGCCGTAGCTAGCTAGACACGAAAAAGAATTTTTCTGAAGCCCAAATCTCGTTTGCCGGTAAAGGTGAACAGGCCCCACTCCTCCTACAGCCAGGAACCCAACGGAGGGGCCCTAGGGGATACAGGGACTTCTGGGCCCCTTTTAGGTCCCCACTGAGGGGCGGCCTGCAACGCGGCTCCCTCCCGTACAAGATGACCCACGTGCCTCTCCATATTGGCAGCTCTGGAGATCAGGGACCCTGATGACTTCCTCTCGGACAGCCAGGACCCAAGTTAGAGGCCTCTGCTCAGGTGCCGCAGACGCCGTCACCTCTTGGCATGGCCCAGCCCCGGCAGCAGGATCTGGGTCCCGTACCCTGACTTCTGAGAGGGGCGGCTACAAGGCCCCTGCCCAGGAATCCAGCAGTCTCCTGGAGCCTGTCCCTCCTCCAGGGGACAATTACCCGTATACTTCTCTGATTACCCACTGGGACACGTAAAAGAGAAATTTTACCGCTCTCGTCGACGCCTTCTGGGAACCCCTCTAAACATCAGTGAGGGGCACCCTTTAAATTACAAGGCGTATCAGGCAGGCTACGGAAAGCGTTCGACCTCCATTGGATGTGACCCACCTGCAGCACAGAGGTTGGGCTATCGCCCCACATAAGATTCAAGGGCCGCTCACAAGTGTTAAATTTCTGGGCCTCAATTGGTCCTCTGAAGGCTGGGAAACTCCACTTGAGGTTAAACACTAACTGTCAACGCTTCAGCCCCCGCCATGCTGCGGCAAGCCCGCCACGGCCTTTGCACTGCGGACGCATACCTCGCTTGCCACTACCCTCTCCGCAGCCACACACGGAGCCCCCACGCTTCGGTGGGGAGGAGCCCAACAGCAAGCTCTGTAGCTGGCACAGAGGTCAACTCATCAGGCCCTCCAGCTCCTTCCTCCAGGTGGAAGCGCTGGCCACCACGGACCACGCGTCCCAGGACTACGACCTAACCGCGGCTCCCTCTGGCTGCCCACGGGCTTCCAGACCGGAAGGCTGCACTCCACAGCCACCCGCTTCACCCCCAGAACTTCGCAGTCTGGCTCCTTAACAGGCTTTGCTAGAAACAGGGGCCCTCGCCGACCGGAGCTGCCATCCTCACGCTTCTAATCAGATCGCGGGCAAGGGACGGCTCCCCACGTGGCTGCGCGCAGCCACAGAGGCCCATTCCCGAAAGCGGACAGGGCACCCCCAGGAAGGGGCTGACTCTGCAGAGGCGGGTCTTTCCGGAGGGCAGGAGGACATGGCTTCCGAGGTCCTCGGCCCCCTGCCCACGGGCCGTGAGGAAGTGGTGACGGAGGCGCCCCCAGCCCCGCCTGGGCCTCTAGCAGGCCGAGCTAGCCGCCGCTAAGAACTGGCGTGCGAGAGGGGAGTCCGGCTGCTCCGTGCACGGCAGCACCGCCACCATCCGTGGCAGGGCGGGGCCAGCTCAGCTCGCTGGGCTCGCGGCAGCACAGTTGGCTGTGTAGAGCACTGCTGCCCGTGGCCGGCCTCTTGTCCGTGTCTCTGCTGACTCCCAGGCAGCTGCTGACAGGCTCGCGGTCCGGTCAGGCCGACGGCAGGGGGATGATTTTCACATCCCGTCTGGGGTGCTCCGTGTAGAGGGTAACGGGGCAATCAAAGCCTTTCGCACTTCAACACGAATGCTACCTCGAGGTGTTTTCCCTCGCCCGAATCCCAGTCACCATACACTTGGGGCTCTCGACCGGCTCCACCCACCCCTCAGCCCCCCGCAATCAGTCCTCAGCTCCACCGCGCCAGCCTTTCTTAGTTACCACTTCTTCACTCTTTATTCCTCGGCCTAATGGTCCCCAAAGGTCCTCTGTCTCTTTGGATCACGGGGTAGCTACCGCCACAATGGCCTGGGTGCACTGGGCGCAGGGCTGTCCTGCTCTGGGGGCGCCTCTCACAAAATGCACCGCTTTGAATCGCAGATGACGTCCCCAAACCAAACGCTGGAAACTGCCGTTCTTTGGTCCCGGGAGGGGACGAGCCTCTTAGCTGCCGGCAGGTTGAATTCACTGGGCGGCTCCCTCCCTCCGTCCCCACTACCCACTTCACTATGACTTGTGTGACACTCGCACTGGTTTACTGCCTGCTACACCCACCCCGAACACCTCTGCGGGTAGGAGCCTCCCTGTCTTGCTTTTCTGAGTACACCCCGCTCCCATTCAGGCCTCCCAACACCACGGACTCGGATCCTCAGAGCAAGGATCTCATTTCACTGCCCAACAGGGCATCCGGTGAACTTTCATT